GGGCTGAATCAGATAATAATCAATAATATATTATAATTTACAGAGGGACATTTTCCCTTGGCGGCACTCATATGATATATTAATTGGCCAATTCAATTATATAATATTGAGATTTTTTATGTGCTTGAATAATCGGAGGTTTCACGACAAAAACTTTTTTTTTTTTTTTTTTTTTTGTGATAAACACAATTATTTAATATGAAATTTAAATTATTTTATATGTTTTACAATGCATATATATACAGTACATTATCGTCAAATATAGGGTAATCATAAATTGTAATAATTTCCATTTGCAGACCTATATTCAAATGCAGATCCCGGCTAGTATTACATACATATGTACATGATTAATATTTTTGTTTAGCTTATTTTTGTGTATAAAAATATCAAGAGACGCGTTATGTATGACGTTTAACGCGTCATGATATTATCTATGACATACTATATAATAGAGCATAATATGAATAAGACAAGATATTTATTGGTTATAGTATCAGCCAGTAAACAAAAAAAAAAATTTATTTATTTAATTGCCATTTGCTGCCATTTGCTTATACATATTCGTTTTAATTTCATATCCTTTTGCTTTTTTGCTTTCCTCACTCTTTTTTTTTTAAACTATAAAAAAAGACGACTATATATAATACTATATGACTATAGTGCATAATTTGGTTCTAGAACCATATTTCATAAAAAAAAAAACTTAGAAAATGATGGTGATATACGAGATATGATGTAAAAGAAAACGACATGAAAGTATGATATGAGAAGTACGATATAAGAAATGTAATATACGAAATACGACGATAGAAGGACGACATAAAGAAATACGACGATAGAAGGACGACATACGAAGTTACGCGACATTATAACACATAAGTTTAACACAAAATTCTAACGAATAATTGAATAAAAAAAAAAGGTTACAAAAACTACACAGAGATTGATGGAACAATCTTTTGAGCATAAATAAGATGTATTTTCGAGTAAGTGCGAAAAGTTTCGGCCTCTTTTATACAGTCATTAACCATATCTTCAAATTCTTGAGAAGTTATGTTCATAAATTCAGCCATTTGCGATTGAGCCGCTAAACATGAATCACGAA